AAAAAAAAAAAGAACTTCTTCAAATAGAAGATCAAATGTTTTTAAATAAACAAATAAATGAAAATAAATATTTAGAATATAATAATATGCGAAACATTGTTTATTGTTTTAAAAGAAAATAATATAATAGAAGAAAAATTATTATTTTTGATAATAGATCAAATATTATTGAAATAAGCAAGACAATATCGCAAAAATGATCCCTATATTCATCAAAAATGTATGGTTTTGGTCCACTAACGGTTGATAGTGAGCAATTTTAGTCCCTATGCCGTTAACTTAAACAGTTTAGTTAATTTTTTTAAAATGATAATTTTACCCTCAGTGATCATTTATGCACTGTTTCTTTTTACCAAACTACAATAACCATTTTAACATATCTTCTTTTTAGTTCAATTTTATTATTATTATACATTAATTATTTTTATTCTATCTTTTGTATTGGATTAATTTTTTAATTGGATTATTATATATTAATAAATATTTTTTTTAATATATAATATTTATATATAAATAAGTGTTATTTTATTGTGTTATTATTTTCTTTTAATTATATTTTTGAATTTGATTTAATTATATTAATTATTTTTTACTAAATTATTATATATTGATAAAATTTTATTTTTAATATATAATAATTATATATTAATAAATATTTTAATGGATTATTAATTTCTTCTAATTATTTTTTTTCATTTTTTCTTGGATTAGTGATTTTTTATTAGATGATTATGTATTAATAAATATTATTTTATTAGATTAATAATTTCTTATAATCATCTATTTTTAATTTCTTTTTTATTAGGTTAATTATTTTTTATTGGATTATAATATTCTAATAAATATTATCTTAAATATATAATATTTATATTAAAAAGTATTATTTTATTGCGTTAATAATTTTTTAATTGTTTTCTTTATTGTTTTACATAAAAAACAAAAAATAAAAATAAAAAATAAAAAAATAAAAAAATCTCATCCACCTCAAATCTCCTAATATATTTTAAATATTTTAAAGATAATATATTTTAGACAACACCACTATAACACCCGTAAGATAGGGATAGATGATTAAAATATAATAATTATAATTATAATTAAAATCTTTGAAATAGTTGTTTTTTATAGAAGATTATTTGGGATAAATAATCTTAACAAAAACTGTATTAATCATAAAAACAAACTCGTGCATATAAAGAACTCATAAATCTGACTTCGTATGAGGAAGTTATAGTTTTTCAAAGTTCCAACGTAGCTGTGTTAACATAGGAATTGAAATTTAGATCAGTTGATTTTTAGCCGAAACAATTTAAACGAGAATCGAAGATCTCGTGAATAGGAACCCATCGATATAAAGACAATCGAAAATGGATGTTATAAATAGGAACCCATCAATATAAAGACAATCGAGAATGAATGTTGTAAACGAACCGAACGTTCGATGAACCGTTCAGCGGAAAGTTTGTTTGTGTTCATATAACGTCCCTATTTGTGTTTAAGACTAGTTGAGATCGTATAGGACTTTACAAATAAAAAACTACTGCAAATAAAACACATCAAAGCCCTTGTTCGTGTTTGTTCAGTTCGTTTACAATCCTATATAAATGTTATATAGTAAAATAATACTTGTTAATATATAATTAATCTAATAAAAAAAATTAAAAACAAGAATTAATTAAAAGAATTAATTTATAATAATTAAATAAAATTAAAAATGAGAGCTGTAGAAATGATCCTTGTAGTTTTGTAAAAAGATTGTTGCAAAAATGGTCCTTAAGGGTAAAACTATCATTTTAAAAAAGTTAACAGCCATGGTGTTAAAGTTAATGGAATAAGGACCAAAATTCCGCAAACTATCCAAAATTTGACCAGTGATGCGCCATCAATTTTTTTTTTTTTTTTTTTGACCAAAATCATATATTTTTGACAACCACAGAGATCATTTTCTACAATTTTGCCTTTTTGTAATCTCAATAAAGGAGCTTTCAAATTTTTCTTTTTCGAATAATTTAGTAGAAAAGACTTTGGTTTTTTTTTTTAATTTCAAAGATGAATTTGTTTGACAAAACTGCCTAAATGATGCATGTGATATGTATTTTTTTTCTAGGTTTTAATTTAAATCCCATTTTTTTTTTGGGATTAATAGTCATTTTGAGTTGGTCTCTTATAGTTTTGGTTCTTAGAAAATTGAAAAGAATAAAATGCCTGCTAATTCATTTTTATGTTTTTCCTATTTAATTTAAAGATTTATTAAATATAGTCCTTCTCTCTCTCTCTCTCTCTCTCTTCTCTCTCTCTCTAAACTAGATCAATGGTTCTTTCATTCTCTTTTTCGCTCGACAATACTCCTTATACCCAACCACCCCTTGTCCAGTGATGGTATGATGGTAAACGTGACGCCTTATCTTGGATTCGTCTTTGATATGAAAAGATTTACCCACAAATCTAGAGAATAAATGTGTTGTAAACACACACCCACAAACACAATCGTAGACACATGCACACCTAAATGTTAGGTCGCTCGTAGCAAAGATGGGTGAGAGATCTGGATCGTATAAGAATAAAACACGTACACAGGAACATAATCTTCGACGACCCTCCTTTGATTCGTCTTTCTTCTTATCTGTCACAAACCTAGACACCCCATCGTGTGTGGCATGTTCGAATTGAGATCCGATCTTCTTCTCAAAAATCGATTGATAGTCGGTGGTTCATCTATACCAAGGCTATTGTTGAGAACGGTGTGTCGAATACCTAGATTGAATCAAAAGATGTTGATAAGACAGAGTCTTCGATTTTGATTACGAGGCCAAATGATAACAATCATATTTTCCATTAAGAGAAGAAGATAATGTCTAATAACACATATGACACTTTAATAAATGGAAATGGTGTCTCGAATCATCACCAACATCATTTGGTAGTGAATGGGGTTGGTCGGCATTGCCACAAAGAGAGTTTTAAGAAACATATGAGAGATTTGAGGAATTCTTGTTGAAATTAAGAGGGTGTTTGGGATAACTTTTAAAATGATTTTTTGGATTTTTGGTTTTTTAAAAAATCCTAAAAGTTTGAAAAGTTGTTTGACAATTATAAAAGTCCTTTTAGAATGATTTTTTGGCAAGAAGAAAAAGTTATGGTTTTAAAAGTCATAATTTGTGACATTTGGCTTTTTAGCCCTTGTTCCTTCAAAAATTAATCCAAATACATTTTAAAACCTAATTTTGGAAAAAGCTATAAGTCAAAAAATCTTTTTGTTGAAAATAACTTTTTAATCTAAAAAGCAATCACAAACACCCCCTAAATGCTATGACCGAATAATTTGTGCCCCTTCATCCCTAAGAACATTTATAATATGGCTCTACTAACTACCATTTGCCGCTACTCGTTTTCCTCATGTCGTTGTTAATGATTTCCTACTCATTTTGCTCATGTTGTTGTTAATGAGCCTTAATGTTTTTGATTAATAAAGTTTTAAATTATTGGGGGAGGGGGGTTGGACAAACATGGTCAAATTAACCGTCAATCCTAAAAGGTTAGGATTTGGACTAAAATTCGAAAAAAGTACTTACTAGATAGACCATTTTTATAATTTTGTTAGTTTGTTTTTAGAATAAAAGGTTGGCCAGTTGGTATGTGTTGGGCAAGGCATGTGAAATTTGAGGGTATTTTAGTCTAAATGACTTATTCTAATGTTGTTCCATGTTTTTACACTACAAGAATAACCGGAAATAGCAGCGACGCTTTTAGTGGCGACGAGGACTTTTAGCTGCGACAAAAAACAAACGTGTTTTTGTCGCCGCTAAAGGCTTATTATGGCGATCCGCGTCATTTCAATCTCATCTGTCGATTTAAGAGATGATCCTACAACTAAGATGACATAAGAAACCTCGCGTTCTTTTCCCTTCGGTGTGTCGCCGCTAAAGAGTGTGAGTTGCCGCTAAAGGCTTATCTTAGCGATCCGTGTCATTTCAATCTCATCCGTCGATTTAAAAGATGATCCAAAGACGTAGAAAACCCCGTGTTGTTTTCCCTCCCATGTGTCGTCGCTAAAGACTATGCGTCGCCGCTAAAGGCCGTCGACAATAAAACCCTTATCTGCTCCAGTTTTCTGTGTTCTCCCTTCTTTCTCACCATTATCGTCGACCTCATCGAAATTTGACAAAGAACTTCACAATTTCACCCATCTTTGCTCCATTTTTCTCCTTTTCCTTTTCTTTTTCACTTCTCCTTACTAAATTTCTAGCATTGATGTGTATTTATATGTGTATTTTGTGTTTGTAGATATGGATGTGTATTTGCATGTATATGTGTATTTTGAATGTATTTTATGTATGTATATGTGTTTTTGTATGTACAATTCTATGTATATATGTATTTTTATGTATATGTATGTGTATGTATTTTCGTATGTATATGTGAATTTTGTATGTGTATTATGTACGTATATGTGTATTTGTATAAATAGAAATACATATTAATAGCAGCGACGCCTTTAGTGGCGACGGAGAACATTAGCGGCGACGTATGAAGCATCAGCGATGAGCCAACAGCAATAAACCTTTAGCGGAGACATGTCCCCTAATACCTTTAACAGCAACATGTTGGACCTTTAACGACGACGCCTGTCGCTGGTAATACCCTTATTTCTTGTAGTGTTATTGAGACTAAAATTTGGTAATTTAGTCCCATTTGATCCGGTCATTGTTCTATGTTGTTCTAGTTCTGTCGTTGACAAACGCTATTTCAATTGACTTTGTTGTGCTATGTTTAATTTGTCGAGTTGCATATACCAAATGCTATATAAGAGAACAATTTTCAACTTTGCTCATTATTTCTTGGATACCTAATAAAACCAATAGACAAATAAATTGAAATGCGGATATATATTGGACCAACTTAATGTATGGTTACATTAGTAATTTTGCATGAAAATACAAATACATAAGTAAAGTCCATCAAAAAATTAAAAAGTGATGGATTTCATTCATTAAATGTGATGTATAAAGATGTTTTATTTAATGAATAAGATACAACCAACAATTTATTATATTATAACTAGATGGTAACCCGCGAGTTGCGTGGGACGGAAGGTGTCGGTTTTCTGTTATAGCGAAGTACAATGCTATAGTTAGGAAAACTTTTAGTTAATTCAAAAAATATTTCATGCTTACAAAATGTTGAGACAACATGATTTAAAATAACATTGGAAATGATCAGTCTCTAAAAAAAACATAAATGACAACAATTTAAAAAAATTGCATAATAGTACAAAAAAAAAAAATCACCATACATCAATCTGGTGTATGCTGATTCCAACTTCAAAATTTGAATTCCTTCTGGTTTCCATCTTAATGAAATAAAGGAGTGACCTTCGTATGAAATTGTGATCTGCAAAACCCAACTAACAAATTTGAATGTATCAATATCAACAAAGGTAACGTTTTAATGTTAAAAAAAATAATTTTTACATTTTTAGGACCATATTGTTCCTGCACACTTTTTATATTAATAAAATTAACCTGATTAATTTAATGTAACTTTTTTTTTTGGGAAAAAACTTCTCATTGCGTGTTCACAATTTTGTGATGGTGACAGTCAACAATCTACTAATAATCTGCTGCTTTGTATCTAATTTACAACCAAATATTAAAATAAAATAAGAAAACCTGCATAAATCATTTTTTTATTGACCTTTTGGTTTTGTAGAACATTTCTTTTTCCCCTTTTGTTTACCATTCCTGAATCGGTTGTCAGGTAGTGAAGGGCAAGGAATGCGAGAACATCCGAATCCGAGTTGGCGAGAAAGACCTGACATTGGAAATAATTAACGATCAAGCGTTTAACATAAAGATAGTATATTAAAGGGAAATTTAGAAAAGAATCCAAAATATATAATAAAAACTATATATGCTGCAAACTGCCAGAGTTACCTGAATATGAAGAAAATATAAACATAATCAAATTTCATGAATATAGACAATGGATGAAACTTTTTTGCAAATTGAAACAATATATCCCCAAGAACTAACTGCAATATTTTCTTTTCAGTGGTTTATATGAACATTAGATTAAAAAATTGGCATTGTTGGTCGCACAAATCTAACTATTGTAAGGAAATACAATATCCTTTGGAACCGACATCTACCTGAAAACCTGTTCCAATAGGGTCGTAAAAGTGTTACATTGGAGAAATAGAATGTATTGATAAAAACAATTAATGAAAGATTTTGATATCAAGTATGAATCCTAAAAGTGTTACATTGGACGAATAGAATGTATTGATAAAAACAATTAATGAAAGTAGGATTGCATGACCAGTTTATTTTTTAGCTAATTAAAAATACTCAATAGATGCGATTTTTTATTTCATCCATTTTTGCTCTTGTTCATCTGCATGCTGCAACAACTCTTCATTTCCTTGTTCTTCAAGGTAATCCAAAACCACTCTTTTTTTCTAACATTTTCATCAGAATTATGGTTGGCTTGCCACAAAAAGGCTACTACAATGGATAAAGACATCAATCACTCTATAATTTGTCTTCAGTTTTATCACTAAATCCTGTAGAAAAGTAACATTTAAAGTTTTTGTTATTTTATAGTGACAACGGTAAGCACAGATCCAGTAAGAGAATGGATTCTAACAGAAGGGAAAGCAATTCAAATAACAGGGATTAGTCATGTTGGTGGTAGTTGCATCAGTCTTGCCAACCGAATCCATCCAAAAAAATAAATGAAATCGCAGCAACAATTTGAAAAAAAAAAAATTATTTGCTGAGAAAGTGAGAAGCTGACAGAGAAGGTGAAATCGATAATACCTAATGATGCTGAGAAGATGAAATTGCTTCTTCAATCCTTTCGGATAGAGACTCCATCGCCACCGATGAAGTTAGGTATGAACTCCGACAGAAAGCAGTGGTTTTTGATATCTGGTGTCAATCGCTAGTTCCTGTGGCCTGGTGGTAATAATCGCCATAGAAAACGAAATGAAATAAAATGGAAGTAGCAACAGATTGAACCCTAATCAGAATTAGAATCAGAAGAACAGTTAAATTAAAGGTTCCATTTGATATGTACCTGAAATAGCTGGTACCCAAAAGCCTTTGCGCCAACAACGATGGTAGTTAACGAAGAAGGAACATAGACATAAGTCATTGGCGGCGGATGGAAGCAGCAGAAGCACCGTTGACGGCGGCGCAGTTAGAAGAAGGAGACTTACCTGAAACTCCTTCTCCGAGGAGACTGCGAGCTACACGACGCTCATTCGAGGAAGTGGGAAGACTCCGATCCCGACTCAGAGTCAATATCGGAAGCCGATCGATCGTCGTCTTCATCGCCCGTCGTGATTTCGTTCTGGACCGACAACAGCGACATATCTGGTGCCTTCACCTTCTTCCTCGTCTCTCTCTCTCATTTCGTCTCTAGCACCCCGTTCACGAGTTGTAGAAAGAAAAGAAAAGAAAAGAAAGTAAGGAGTGAAAACAAGAGAACACAAAGCAAAACAGATTTGTCTTTTGTTTTGTGTTACTAAATTTGAGAGAAATTGGAAGAAAGTTAAATATTTTGTTCTTTCTCTTCAAATCATTTCAAATCGGAAGGAAAGTTAGCAGAGAAAGTGATCCCTCTATTTCCTTCCATTTCCCTCCTTCAATGAAACTTGGGAACATCAATTTCTCTTACTTTCCTTTCACTTCCACCCATTTTCTTTCTTTTCGCTCCTTAAATTGAACTCGGGAACAGGGTGTAGGGCTTTGTAACACGAAGGTTACCTGAGGCGGTGGGTTTTTTTTTATGGAGAGAATAGAGAAAACGACATATACTGCGACCGACAATGGAGAAGACGAATCCGACGTTTTTGGGATGTAAAAGAAAACGGAAGCGGTGGGAAAGTTGTATCTAGATGAGTAATGTTGAAGCAGTGGATCATCAGCACTAAACCTTTTCGGATTTAATTTTCCATTAAAAAAAAACCTCCAAAAAATAAGGTTCGAACAACAAAATACTTACAATATTAGAGGGACCATTATTACCGAAATAAACAAAAGTTTACTATTAAAATTTATCACAACTTTAATATATATATATATATATATATATATATATATATATATATATATATATATATATATATATATATATATATATATATATATAAATAATATAATATGTATCTAATAAAATCATTTCACATTTTAAATTAACATAATGATATGAATGTAGATGGTTGTAATACATAGTCAAACAAACATTATATGTTTTGTTTTCTTTAAATTAGAAGCTACATTAATCTTCCATTTTATTGAAGACTAAAATTTTGATGAATATCATAAGTCACACAAATATATTGCTCAAACAAAGATCACTTTAAATAATCTTTTTTAAAAGCACACAGGTAGACAAAACCAGACGATATCCATCTCATCACTCATGGTTTGTCCAGTATGAACATTGAATGAACCAACCATCCCATGGTATTTTATTGGGGATATGAGACATTTTCAAACCATATTCTAATTTTACGATCCTTATTTAGATCTGCAAGCTGGCAAAGGTTCATAAACCACATTCTAGTTGTATATATCATCCTTATTGTGTATGGTGTGAACTGATTATTTTATAATAAACGACCAATTATGCACCGGAGAGAGAGAGAGAGAGAGAGAGAGAGAGAGAGAGAGAGAGAGAGAGAGAGAGAGAGAGAGAGAGAGAGAGAGAGAGAGAGAGAGAGAGAGAGAGAGAGAGAGAGAGAGAGAGAGAGAGTTGACTTACTCCTTAAGTTGTACATATTGCTACGCAACAACATATACAATATCATCTCTTTTAAGCACTTCATCTTTGATTCTTTTACAGTCTTAATACAGTTTCTTATTCTCCATCGATTATCAAGATGATGTCAGTGAAAAAATAGTTTGCACACCTCAAAACACAACTAGCATATATAATATCGGCAACCAACAATTTTTCCGAAGAAAATTGTATCGGGAAAGGTGGATTTGGAAATGTGTACAAAGGAGATCTCATCCACTCGAAGGGGAAAACAAAGGTTGCTGTAAAACGTTTAGCAAGTGAATTTGGACAAGGAAATTCTGAGTTTTGGAAGGAGGTCATTATGCTCTCCGTTTACAGGCATCATAACATCATTACCCTCTTAGGTTTTTGTGATGAGATGAGCGAGAAGATCCTTGTGTATGATTATGTGTCTAACAAAAGTCTCGATTTACATCTCAACAACAACGATCTAACTTGGGTTCGACGACTTACAATATGCATTGGGGCTGCTCGTGGACTGGCATACCTTCACAATCCTGCTAACACCCATCAAAGAGTATTGCACCGAGACATAAAAAGTTCCAATGTCTTATTAGATGAAAATTGGAATGCAAAGATCGCTGATTTTGGCTTATCAAAATTTGGTCCTGCTAACCAGCAATACACGTTCATTGTCTCCAATAATGTTGGAGGCACCATTGGTTATTGTGATCCGTTGTATTTAGAATCGGGGGTTACTAACAAAGGAGTCAGATGTTTACTCTTTTGGTGTAGTGTTGTTTGAAGTTTTATGTGGGAGGTTGTGTATTGGGAAGAAAGAAAACTCGCACACTTTTACTCGGTTGGTACGAAAACATTACAAAGAGGACAACATGTATGGAATTATTTCCAGTCATATAAAAGATGAAATACATCCTAACTCTTTGAAAGCGTTTACAACAACAGCTTATCAATGTTTGAAGCGGGACCACAAAAGACGTCCATTAATGACGGAGATCGCAACACAACTTGAAACTCCACTCAATTATCAAGTAAGTTGTTTTTACATTTGATACATTTATTTTTTATGATTACATTACTCTTTTTTTCTATAAACTTTAAGCGAAAGAGGGGAAAATAATGCTAAAACATCTTGATAACAAAAGGTGGTAATAATGTAATATATAGTAAACATAACAAATAGAAAAACTAAATATATCAAATTGAAATGCCACATAGTTGGCCTTGGGGTATAACATGCATTTGTGTCGTAATAATTGATCTTTTTCATTTGCTTGTTTATATGAAATTGAATACAAAATTTTGTGGAAAAGGGAAGAATCAGTCTATCATCATTATAATGTAAAACTCCTGAGAAAATATAACAAGCAAATTTACTATCACATACGCATAAATTCATAGCAATTTTACAGTGAAAAATCAACCCTCTTGACATCAAAATAGAAACTCTATTCCGCAATTCTAAATATAAATATATCGACCTTTATTGAACCATTTTATATTTAATAAACAAAATTAATAGGTAGCATAAAAGAGATCCGATTGTTAATTAAAATAAAACATAACCAGATGATAAATAGAACCCGGTTTTTAGTAAACCCGACCCAGAACCAATCACAATCCGAACGCACGTCAACCCAGGTTTTAAAAGATTTGCTTTATAACTCTTTGAACCTCTTTTTTTTGCGCTTTTGCCCTATTCTAATAACTTGGTGCTTTTTTGTATTTATGTATCTCGCGGTTAAAAAAAGGCTTCAATTATCCCTACCCTCCTTCCACTTAATCTAGGGATGAGCATTGGAACCGGGTATTCGCTTTTGGAACCGGAACCGTCTCGGAACTGCTGGTTTTGGTACTGGAACCGCCTTAAGCGGTTCCGGTTCCAGTTCCTAACGTTATTGAACCGCCTTAAATGGTTCCGGTTTTGGTTATCGTTTTTTCAGAACCACTACCCGCCGGAACCGGTTATATATATATATATATATATATATATATATATATATATATATATATATATATATATATATATATATATATATATATATATAATTTCAAATAAATATGTGTTACTTAGACCAGTTTAAAATATATTGGTCCTAATTAATTTGATTTGGGTCGAACTAAATTGCAGTTTTATCAACAAAAATTAACAAAATTAATGTGATCGGGTTACCCGCTCCCGGAACCGGAACCGCCGGTTCCGGGACTGATTCCAAACATTTAAGAACTGCCTAGAGCGGTTCCGGTTCCGGTTTCGGTTCTTGCCAAATGAGGCGGGTACCGGCCTATGCTCATCCCTAACTTAATCCTACCCCTAATAATTACATTTAACTTTTTTTTTCTTAAATAACTAATGATTAAGTTTTTTTTCTTTTAATATATACTAGTTTATTTATTTTTTCTTTTATTAATCTTGTTTTTTATTTTACTTATTTACCTTTGTTTTTATGTTTTTTTTATTTGATATTTTGTTTGAAGACATTGTTAAACATAAAAAAACATTAATGTAATTATTATGTTTTTGTATTCCTGTTTCGAACGACGAATTCAAAAAAACATGACCTTTTGTTTTAAAAAAAAATATGATGTTTTGTTTGTATAACCAAAAAAATCTTTAAACTTTTATCCATTTTTTATAGTTAAAAAAATCTTTAATTTTAGTTGAACAGAAGATTTAAACAAAAAAATGTTTGACGTTTAAATATATTTTTAATGTTTTATTAGTTTATATTTATAAAAGACATAACTATGTGTATTTGTATATACTATTAAGTATACATATATATATTTATTTCATATTTATACGTATTAATGCAATACAAACCATAACAATAATAAGACGGCGACAATAGTAATAATAATAACAATAATAATAATAAATTATTTTTACTTTTATTATTATTATTTTTTTATTTTTATCTTTATTTTTATAGGTTATATAGAACGATTTGATTTAATTAATCAAAAAAGGGTTTTAGCTTAGTTGTAAAGTGTTTAAAGTTAATGTGTGATGTTGCTCGGAGGTTTAGAGTTTGAATCTCCCTATGTACACTCAGATTTTTGAAGCTTTCTAGCTCCCGGGCGCAAAATACTATGTCTAGGTTTTTGTGGCGCGGAACATTATGTTTAGATTTTTGTTATCTACCTAAAAAATAATAATTACTGGGGTAAGAATTAAAAATCTGGAGTAGGTATAACAATACCCCTAAGAAAACAAATCGACATCTCAGTCAAACCCAAAAACCTTGAATTGTACAAAAGTCAAGTCAAACTCTTGACTCGAGAAGGTCCATTAAACGACACCATAATCCAAATAATTGTTTTTAGGTTCAAGATATATATGAAAAGTACATATAAATTTACGTCTACTGATTTGTTTCTTCATGGACCTCTGAGGTCAGAAGTGGAGATGTAACTAAACCAATTCCCCTTCAGGAGGGAAAAGAATTCAATTTCACCATAAAAAGTGGAATCAGCACAAATGACACTGTTAGTGTAAATTATGAAGGCTTTATAAATCATGTCGAAGCTGGCGATATTGTACTGGTTGATGGTACGAATATCTCACATGCATTTCTAAAAGAGAAACAAGTTACCAATTAGTAAAACACTATGTAGTTATCATTGTTTAAAGCTACTGTTTTTCGTGTAGGGGGATGATGTCATTGGCTGTTAAATCTAAGACCAAAAGTTTAGTAAAACGTGAAGTAATTGATGGTGGAGAATTGAAATCAAGGAGCAATCTCACTGTGCGTAGAAAAATTCCATCTTTGCCTTCAATAATAGGTTTACTTGCATCCGGTTTTACAATTATTCTTTATGTACTATAAACACTGATTCATCTGATTATACTAGGTCTCGAATCAAAAAAATCAACTGGATACTATAATAAGATTGAGGAAAAGAAAATTCCAAATACAACCCATTCAATTGAGAGCTTAAATCAACTAAAAGAGAATGTGCAAATGATAGAGCCAGAGGAATCGTAGGTAGGAGAGTCAGTTGACGACGTGGAGAACCTAAAATCTACTTTACAAAATGTGTATGCCGAGTTGGATGATGAGAGAGAGGCTTCCGCAACGGCCGCCAGTGAGGCATTGTCGATGATCCTCCAGCTTCAAGAGGAGAAGGCAAAAATGCAAATAGAGGCCTTGCAGTATAAAAAAATGATGGAAGAACAATTTGAAATACGATTAAAAAGCTTTGAAACAAATCAAGAATAGGAAAAAGTTTACAAAAATCAAAGGTACGATCATATAGCAACGAGTATAGTATAATAATCCATAAGTTTTATAAAAAAGAAGAAGAAGAAGAAGAAGAAGAAGAAGAAGACGAAGAAGAAGAAGAAGAAGAAGAAGAAGAAGAAGAAAGAGATGGTGCAATCACATTTGAAAGCTATCCAATTCATCATTCCTACTCAAGGTTGAGTGTTTGACTCTTTTTTTAATTAAGGTTGTTGCCAAAAAAAAAATTTATGTATCTTTCTTTAAATGAAGTAGGTGGATGGTAGATGTCTAGTTTTAAATGTATGTTCCTTTTGTATTAAAATATTATTGAATGAAAAGTAGTAGATACTTTCTCTCAATGTTATTGTCATTTGTTCTTTCTCATCCATTGCACACTATGAAAACAAGAAATTCATCTTCTTTTCATTTTTTTGCATAAAGTAAAGTGATCAAAGGGGCAATAAACAAACATTTGGTATCAGAGCTCTAAGTTTATACCAAAATATCAATCCCGATCTGCCTCCATGGGAGATTCGTCAAGGAACGAGAAGGATGGGCAAATTACACTGCATTATCCTATGTTGTTAAGAAACAACTATGTTGCATGGGCCATTAAAATGAAAGTGTTCATGCAACCGCAAGGTGTTTGGGATGCAGCAGAGCCTAGTAGACCAGAAGATGTAGTTGAAGTTAGAAAAGATAAGATGGCACTTCCAACCATCTATCAAGGAATCCCAGAAGATATGTTGCTGTCATTGGCAAAGAAACAAAAAGCAATGGATTCATGCGAGATTCTAACAGTTATGTACATGGGGGCTGATAGATTAAAGACAGCAAGGGTGTAGACGTTAAAAGCAGAATTTGAAGTTCTAAATATGAAGGAGATGGAGATAGTGAATGAGTTTGCTATGAAGATAAACAATATTGTAAGCAATATTTGGGCCTTAGGAGACAATGTTGAGGAAGCATATGTAGTGACGGAGCTACTACGAGCAGTGTTGTCAAAGCTTTAGTAGATTGCCTCAACCATTGAGAAATTGACAGATCTTGATAAGATAACTGTTGAAGAAGTTTTTGGTAGGTTGAAAGCTCACGAGGAGAAAATCGGAGGGCACAATGAAGTTGACGAAAAGAAGCTTCTATTGACTCACCAAGAGTCATTACTAGAAAACAACCCTTTAATGACATGCAAACAATGACACTCACTGTTAGAGGATACGCATTTGTGTGTGCCCTAAAAAATAATATCAGTTTTGCAAAATTTGAAGGATAGAGGACACACATTTGTGCGTGACCTAAAAATAGTGTCCAACAAAAAAAATTAAAAACAAGGATGGCACCTATCATAAAAAAAGTATGTCGTCTAAAACTGTCTCTTTATATTTTTCTTTATGAATGTGCGTTCTCCAATTTTTTAATTTCCAAGGGGGGAATGAAATCTAAAAAAATAAAAAAAACCCCCGCCTTAATACTCTCGTCCTTGTTCTTCTTCATATATTGTAAAATCCTCTTCAATCAAAAGAAACCCTAAAAGCATTGTTTGTAAAAGATCGATAAT